AATGGTACAGCCTGGAGGCAGCACCAAAAACAGCAACATTAGATGGTGGACGCTTCCTCTCCCCAGTGAAGGCCGATCTACTGTCCACTTTACGAACAAGGTTCTATACAGTGAAGTTTGATAATTTATAACATTAACATTGGCACATATTGTTACTGATGACAAACATTTATTGAGCACCTACTATTTCCCAGGAATGCAATAAGGAATAAAACCTCTACCACAAGAAGACTTTAAATTAGTTTGGAATTCAGCACACAAACCCAGCAAGATAACTAACGATATAAGGTAACATTTACCAGGTGTAAAATGTAAACTGTATCAAATGTGAACAGTAAATTCTACATGAGTCCAATATGTCCTGTGGACTTCCCTTCTCTGCTCCACCGTGGTACCATCTACAAACCTCTGTGTAGCAACTACACAGGTCTGTGACCACAGTCGTCCCTTGGTATCAGTGGGGGACTGTTTCCAGGACCCCTGTGATACCAAAATCCCTGGCTGCTGAAGTCCCTGATATAAAATGGCTTGGTACTTGCATATAACCTATGCACATCCTCCCCTATACTTTAAATCATCAAATCATCTCTAGATTACTTATAATACCTAGTAAAATGTAAATGGTATGTAAATAGTTCTTATACTATATTGGTTTTTTATTTATATTATTTATTGTTATTTTTAATTTTTTCCCCTGGATCCACAGTTGGTTGAATCTGCAGATGCAGAACCCATGGATACAGAGGGCTGACTGTATATCACACCTGTATATTATATGGGTCTTTTGTCTCCTCTAATGGTGTATAAGCTCTTCCAGGACGGAGACCTTGATTTTACCCCCCTTCCATACATTTCTACCACGTGGCCAGGTACCTGGCATTAACAGCATTAAATAAATATTTAATCGATTTAATAATGACTGTGGAATGTGAGCTGAGCTTTTTACGAAGGGTAAGACTTAGATAAGAAGAGAACTGAAGGTTGAGCTTTCCAAGCATGGCCAAGGGAACATTACATTAATAGTCCTAAACCTTTACTGCTTTAATCTCAAAATCATTTCTTGGCTTATTTCCTGGTCTATCTTTCCTTTGCGTTTTTTTTTTTTTTTTTTTTTTTTTTTTTTTTTTTTCTGCTGATACTAAATCATGAGGGAAAAATTAAACCCACACAAAGAATCTCGGCTTAACACTCAGTTGATACTTTATGTACACACACAAAGTTTGGGGGTACCAGTAGGTCCAAATATCCTTGGCATCCAGAATTCCCCACCACCAAATTAGAAGTTCTTTGAAGCCTGGAAACAGTTTCCTTTTCAGCTTTCACAGCTCTTAACACATAACCATGAATCACACAAACTAGCAACGTCAACATCATATGCATTCTGGTAGTTGAGTCAATCTTGCAAACTTAGAAGGCTATATGGTTAGTTTAAAGGCAGATCTTGTTACACTCCACACCAATACAAAGTGAAGAGGACATGAGCAGATGATTTAAAAAAAAAAAAAATTAACTCTCCAGTCCTTAATTCCCCATAAACGGAAAATGAAGTTCTCCCTAATTTATTCTAAGTGACTCTTCGTATTTGAATAATCCTGCTAACTGCTGGAGCTCCATGTTTGCCAAATGGACATAGACTCATTATTTAGAAATGCAGTTTACGACAAACTTATCTATGAAACACCTGTGGGGGCCCTTAAGTCATTGCCCATTTCCTATACTCTGTATCCGGTTGCTATGCTCTATCCGCCTCTAATTAAATAAGATTTTACATTTAATATCTTTAGGAGGATGTCAGACTAGTACAGAAACAAGAACCATAGACTCTTCCTCAGTATAGTCATAATTGCACCCTGTTTAAGGGTGTCCCAAAGTTAACACAATGGAAAAATGGAAGAATCAAAAGAAAAATAATGAAAGACTTCTTCACTCACAAAGCAGAACACTCAGTGTATATTTCAGTTTTTTACAGATAATAAACTACTTGACACAGGGAGACCCAGAGGCTAAAGACATTCACAGAAGTGCAATCAATCAGAAATTATGAATAGATGTAGGAAATGTTAAGACACTAGGAAAAGGATTCAACCTCCTTAATGGTATATGAAGAACTATTTGGGCAAATTGAGATCAATGTTCTATAACTTTAATTTATAATTATAAAAATTATAATTATACATATAAAATTATGACTATAATTATAATTTTGAGCATATCTCGGGCCAACAAAAAGTCTCTCTTTAATGGGACAGGAGCAAACATTTATAAAGGACTGCCACATCTGGCTCCACCTTTCTCATTCTGGTCTGTGCCCCAGGAGGTGCACCCCAGGCACCCCAGGCCAGACACCCTTGGCAGGGCACTGGAAAGAGAGGGAAGGGCTGCGGGGTAGGAAGAAGAGCTGCAGGGGTACAGGGATGGGCTGCGGTTCTCTCCGCCTCCCCACTGCATCCCGGCAGGGTTGAGTCCAGCTCTCACTGAGCATGCAATGGACTTCTTCCCCTTTCCCATTCAGCCCCCAGTCTGGCACCTCAGCATCCTTTCTGATTCCCTTAACCCTGCCCACAGGTATATAATTCATTAAAGTCTCTTCATTTCAACCAACTGAGTTGAATTCTGTTTCCTGCCAGGACCCTGTCTGATAAAAGGACCTTCCTAACGTATGGCATTTTATATCTATATCAACCCCAAATGGGTTTTACATCTATGTCAACCCCAAAATGTAGGTCTTATCACCATCTCCCATTTTACACATGAGGACACTGAGGCTCCAAGAGGGTAAAGTACCAGCCAGTGATCTCAAAGGAAGTTTGCTGGCAGAGCAGAAATTGCACCAAATCAGTCTGACCCTTAAAAAGTCTTAAAAATGTTAAGGAGAGAAACACACCAAGCTTCCAAACTCTCAAGCTACAGTGAAGCCTCAAACCACATTATTTACGGCTTGGGATGTTCCATGGACCTAAAATAAGCTACCTGGGGCATTGCCCTGTAAGTGCCTCTCCCACCCCACCGAGTCACTCAAACTGGCCCCAGCTGGAGGGTGGTCAGGCTGACCTGAGAACTAAGAGATCCCAGGGGCTCCTCCCCTCCATCTCCAACATCTTTCCTTCAGTGCATCCCAGAAATCCCTTCCTCCCTCCAAATCTTAAACATCCCTACAGCTCTTTGTTCCTTTTTATAAGTTAAAAATGGGGTTACTGGGCCGGCCGGTGGCGCACTGGAGAGTGCGCCCCTTGGGAGCGCGGCGGCGCTCCCGCCGAGGGTTCGGATCCCATGTGGAGACCGGTTCCCGCTCACCTCCCAAGGAGCACGGCGGCGCTCCCGCCGAGGGTTCGGATCCCATGTGGAGACCGGTTCCCGCTCACCTCCCGGTTCCCGCTCACTGGCTGAGGGCGGTGCGGGCGCGACACCAAGGGTTGCGATCCCGTTACCGGTCAGTAAAAAAGACAAAAAGGAAAAAAAAAATGGGGTTACTTTTACAGAAATCCAGGAGATTGGGAATGGGGGTGGACACACTTAAAATGCATTACTAACATTACACTAGCACCTCCCAGTCGCAACTTGACATGGTCTTTAACCATCTATGTCTTTTATCTCTTTTCATACAAAAAGCCTCCCTGGATTCTTCTCTCTAGGTTTCCAAAGTAGCTTAATAAAGAAAATGCAATTAAAATAAATTCTGATGTGGGGTGGTGAGGTAAGTACAAAGTAAACTCCCCTTAAGGAAATCCAGCTATGTGTTATATTTTGTTTCTCAGCTAAAGAATTTGCAATTTGTCTGCCGCTGCCTGGGTCTCTGGGTCTCTCCCACCTTCACTACAAACTGAAGGGTAATTTACAAAAGCACAAGTGCCTTCGCATCTGAGACCTCTCCCGAGTTCCTGACTGGATTTTGCAACTGATGAGAAGACAGTGGATCAGGTGGAGATCAGAGTCAGAGCTCAGAGCGAGCCAGGTGGAAAGGCAGCTCGGTCAACAGTACGTGCATAAGGCAACCATCCAGGTCTCACTTCCTCATTGCTGAAAGAATAATGAGAGTGCAAAGGGCAGCAGGTACATGCCCTTGTCTGAAAAAAAGAAAAATAAGAACACTAGTGAGAGGAAGAGGAGGAAGACTGGCAAAAACTGAGCATGAAATAAGACGGGAGGGCAGTGGGCCGTCCTCCAGCGTTCCCTGCCCAACTCCATTCCAATCAACATATACTTATTGAGTCACCACTAAGGACTCGGCAGATGTAGCCTGCAGCACGTAAAGACACAAGATAATGAGTAAGACAGCCCGAACCCTGAGGAAGATTTCCTACCAGGAATTACTGTTGTCATTTTTAATTGTAATGGTAGCAGACAATTCCTGGACAGTCCAAATAACTTCACCAGGGCTCTTCTCCCACTAACCTGTCCTACTCAGAAGCCTCCAACCCCAAAGAAAAGCTGACTGAATAAATTAAGGCTCCGGGAAGACCAAAGAATCCTTGTGTGTCACTCCTCCCTTGCGGATGCGTATCACACGTGGTGCAAAACAACTGTCACCCTGATTGAACAAGTCTCCCTGCTGAAGTCCAAACCCCAGGTCTCTCATCCAAAATCTATAGACTGTAGTCTACAGATTAATCAGGCTTATTTTTAAGTAGGGTTATCTAAATGAATAATAATAACGACTTGACTACCCTGACGGAAGAAACATTGGAGTTATTTATCAAACTACTCAAAACTTCATTAAAGGACAAGAGGCAGTCCACAACTTTTTTAAAAAAAACGTTCAGTCGAACTTGTCATGTAGAGTGTACCGGTACTTTCACAGTTATAAGGAGAAAAACACTAACACCAACTCAAAGAAAGGAAATAGAATAAAGCCCACCTGTCCAGTCTGTAGCTGCAAAATGTGCTATGGTGACAGGGACGGAGGTGGGTGGCACTTTCCCCAGCATTCTCGCCCGCGATCGCTCGGGGCGTTGGGGCTCCTGAGCTCGCGGGCGCGCCACGGCCCGGCCGCCCGCACTCACCTGGTCCAGCGGGATGCCCAGGAGCTCGCTGAGCGGGTGCAGGCAGGTGGAGCCCGTGGTGCGGTAGGCGAGGCTGGACGGCGGCGGCTCCGCTGCCATCCTGCATCTTCAGGAGGCGGCTGCCCTGGCCCCGGCCCGCGCCGCTCTGCTCGGCGTCCTCCCGCCCGGGTGCTCGTGGGCGGCTGCACCCAGGGGCGCGCGGCCGCCCGGCTCGCAGGGGACGCGAACCGGCGCAGACTCTCCGGGGCGCGAACTTGGCGTTGGCGCAGCGACCGCGGGCGCGGGAGGAGGGCCGGGCCGGGCGCGCTCCGCTTCCCGCTTCCCCCC